CCTGCACATCCCTCTCTGACTTGCTCCCCGCTCAGGGACATGCTATCAGCCAGTGTCCAGACAGTGGAAGTGTGGAGAGCAGAAACGAATACCATTGTACAGTCATGGTCAGGGGGGGTTGAGGAGTGTTGTGGAGTGTTAGAATAGGGCCCACTGTCACACAAGTCCCACTGAGAAGAGGGATATCAGGACAGGACACCAGGGAAGGAATGTGTTTTGGTATTCAGGCTGGAGCGGCCAGGAGGCGCTTCCTAGGCATTGGAGGTCAGGGCAACCTGCGAGGCCTGAGGCAGGAGCCCACCTTGGCCCCGGAATAGGAAAAAGAGGCCTGTGTAGGCTGGAGCAGAGCAGCCAGGACCACACAAGCAGGAATGGAGGCAGAGAGGTCAGGGGGAGCGGCAGGGAGGGCAGGCTGCCAAGTTTCTCTCTCACAGCCTCAGGAAGAGACCATTGGAAAATGATGTAGTTTTCCTCACGCTCTTATTAAGTAAAATGTAATTTTTTTATTTTATTTATGAAACACTTATGAACATGTAGTATTTGCTAGTTTAAAACTATAAGCCGGTGCCTCCAGGCTAGGCCCCAGGAAGCCACGCAGGGGGCCTTCCACCTGACATGTGGGACTGGTAAGGAACACATTTTGGGTGTTCAGAAAGTTGCTTTGGAGATATGAAGGTGGAGATGCTGTGAGATGGTCGCACAGGATTCAACAGGGACAACTGGCCAGTTAGGGATTCCAGAGTTTCAAGGGGGAGAGGGCTGCAGGGGGAAATGAAGGACATGTAGTGGGGCTTGAAAGGCATGAGAGTAAGATGTTAACGGGCACACGGATCGTGGGTGTGCTATAGAAGGAGTGGTTTCAAGGGCCAGCTATGGGTCACTCTACATTCACAGAACAAGGGAGTCCAGGGACTCAGCAGAGTACAAGTGTGAACTTCATTAGGAGCACAAAAAAATTAAAAACGGCCGGCACTTATGGCTCCACCTGTAATTCAGCACTTCGGGAGGCTTAATATGGTTGGGACCTTTTACTCTACCTCGAAGACAGGGATTTGGACAGCGCGATTGAACACATAGTCCAAGACACGGTTCCTAGAAAAAATTTAAAAATTAGCTGGGGTTTGCCGGGCACGGTGGTCACGCCTTGTATCCTGCACTCTGGGAGGCCGAGGCAGGGCGGGCATTGCTTAAGGTCATGAGTTCAAAACAGCCTGAGCGAGACCGTCATGTACTATAAAAATAGAAAGAAATTAAGATTGGCAAACTACTATATATATAATATCCCGTATAATACTGGCTTAATTATATTCTATATATAAAAATTAGCTGGGCATGGGAGGTGCGAGCTGTGCCAAGTACTTTCGTGGAGGGTGAGGCAGGAGGATGCATTTTGAGCCAGGAGTTGAGGTTGCTGTGAGCTAGGTGACCCACGGCCATCATTATAGGCCTGCGGCAACAAAGCAAGACTTCTCAAAAAAAAAAAAAAAAATTAGCCAGGCATGGTGGTGCATGCCTGTAGTCTCAGCTGCTCAGGAGGAGGCTGAGGCAGGAAGATGGTTGGAGCCCGTAAGTATGAAGTGACAGTCAGCTATAATCATGCCACTACACTTTAGCCCAGGTGACACAGTAAGACCATCTCAAAAATAAATTAAAAAAAAAATTTTTACATAGTTTTATAATGGTTAGTGGTATGTCCTGAAGGCAAGAAAAAAGAAGCAATGAACAGCTTTGCAACATGCTGCTAACAGGAACAGGAAGATGATGACAGGAAATGAAATGTTGGATTTAAAAATGGCAAGGTCAGTGGTGACTCTGAAAAGGAAAGGATTAGTGGAAGGGTAGATGTGCAAGCTTCATTGCAGTGGTAAATCAAGAACCGAAGGCTAAATTAATGAAAGAATACAAACAAGATTTCAGTGTATGTTCTCTTAAATGGAACATAGATAAGGGATGCTTTACCCAAGAAGGAATGCAGTAAACAGAATACTTTCTGCTTTAATGATGGACTGTGGATGGAAAAT